CCAAAATTATTAATAAACATTACCTTTATTAATTTAAACAATGAGATTAAGTCAAACTCACATAACTGACAATTTGCACAGACGAATTATCAGAGCGAATTTTCATATACTGTATTATCCTACTATTGTTACACAATTTATTAACACTCTTTTTTAGGTTCATTTAGGTTCTTTTGATAACGGTAGCAGAAAATAGCTATCGAAACGTCAAGGTAATTTTTCAAATTAATTTCTCTACTAATTGGAATTTTCTCTTACAGCTTGAGCCTAAGTGTGTCGCAGGATACCCTCTAGGTGATAGTTCTTGATTACTTTTTGATAAATAATTCGTTCTTATTGCGAAATAGGAGCACTATTTATCAATCGGTAATAACAGACGTGAGGAAATTTTGTCTTTTTTTAAAGACAAAAATTTTTGAGGCGAAATACCCAAAAAGAAGTTTGTAAAAAAATAAATCCGCCTCAACAATATAGAACTTCACATTTAGGAATGTTATTTAACCGGCCGTGAAAGCCTTCATAGTCTAATATAGAACTTATCTACAATAAATGAATGTTGCAACTTTTAAGAAAAACTTATATTGTTTCGGGATATTTTATAGTTCCGCCAGCAAAGTGATCACATTTGCAGCTAAATTCATAATTGAGTCCCAAAATGACACTCATTTCGAATCATCCTGATCCTGACCTTTGATGTCTCTGAGGCGAAGATCTCCATTAGGAGTGATGAAGAACATGGAAGCATCAGGGCCACTCAGAGATAAAGTCAGTCGATCTCCTCTATCTCCATCAGCAGCCTCGATTTTTCCGACCAAATCGTGCACTCCTCCATTCATGCCAGCGAAGAAATCATAATGTGGGTACCGGAACCGTGGCTCCCATTCATTCACATTTTCTACTGTGACGTTCACCACACTGGAATCGTTCTGAAAGTCCACTCTTATAGTGTTCGGGTTTTGCTAAAACAGACACTCACCGTTTTTCCATCAGTGGCGAACACTTTGAAAATATACTCGGGCTTGGTTTCGTAGTCCAGTTTGTTCTTCAGGGACACTTCGCCCAAAGTGTTGATGGCAAACACACTCAGAACACTCTGATCCGAGACGAAGTACTTCAGATGGTGTCCTGGATGGTTGTTGGATAAGCTGCCAATTGGAGCGCCTGGACTTAGTCCTTCTGATGCGCGGAAATTGAACACTGGATGGATGAATCTGATGCCTTTCGTTGATGATCGCGTGACGGTCAATGTGGCCAAAGCATATCTGCAATCAAGTTGATGTACTTATAAAAACATGCAAAAACCCCTCAAACAGGTGCCCGCTGGTTGGATTAAAAATGTGTTATAATTTTTTAAATAATAAAATATGCTACGCTTGTATATGGGTGGAAAAAAATTGATTTGCTTACTGCGCTTACCTATCAGGATTGTCCAGCTGAGTGGCGCGGATTACTAAAATTGCCGGGCTTTGCAAGTCGTTTTCTGCAAAGTTTTTCGCCAAAGTAACCTTGCCAGTGTCCCGATTCAGCTGGAACATCGCATATTCGCTTCCAACCCCATTCCAGGTGTAGTAGATTGGGGCGCCGATTCCCTCGTCTTGGTCAAACGCCCGAATATCTCGAGGATGGATTTTTAAAACAGTGTTTTTCATGGCAGGATCCAAAATTACGGACTCATAGCGATCGTCTAGAAACCTGAGAAATCAAAATAAAAAAAGTGGTGTGCGTCACATAACTTCATATATTTATAGAAACCATAAAATATTGAACTTGTTTAACGCATGATGGCAATAATTATTTTATTTAATAAATTTAATATTCTTGGTAGTCTAATAGTTTATAAATGGATCAGGAATAGGTCAAATTTAATTTAATTTCCTTTTGAATGTAAAAGATCTTTTTTATTGGCAACATTTAACATTCTTTAACGAGATGTTATACATATTGCTCTTCTTGGGTTTGTGTAAACTCTTCTTCTTGAGTTTCTGTATTTTTTAGTCGTAATTTCCTATTTGCTTTGTATAATCTTTGACGTTCAGCACTAGTTCGTGGTTGATGAAAGTTACTTTGAGTTGATCTATTACTTAATGCTCCTTTTTTAGCACGAAATCGTTTTTGGTGTTCAGCACTACTTAATCCCTTTCGCATTGTAGCATGTTTTTAAGACTGCTCTTGTGTATGTTGTTCATGAACGTCTGCTACAACTTGTATATGAATAGGACTAAAAAATCAATTAATTTTGGTGATTGGAAGACGTTCTATCTGTTTAAAAAAGACGGTAAAACGAGAAAGAGCTATAGAGACAGGATACACTTGACACACTATATGTATACATAATGTTAAGCAATCGCGCGTATGTTCAAAAAAAAAAAAATTAACTGAACTAATC